TACAGTGTCTCCCATAACATCCTCGTAGATAACCTCAGGAAATGTGGCTTGAATGGACAGATGAGGTGGATCAAGAACTGGCTGAATGGCAGAGCTCAGAAGGTCGTGACAGTGGAATAGAATCCAGTTGGAGGCCTGTAGTCAGTGGTGTTTCCCAGGGATCACTACTGGGTCTGGTCTTAGCTTGTTTGTCAACAGCCTGGACGAAGTAATAGAATGTATCCTAAGTGAGGCTGCTGATGATACAAAACTGGGGGGAGTGGCTGGTACACCTGAAAGCTGTGTTGCCTCAGTGGGACCTTGGTAGGCTGGAGAATTGGGTGTAGAGAAACCTAATGTGGTTCAACAAGGGCAAATGTAGTGTCCTGCACCTGGGGAGGATTAACCCCAAATACCAGCACAGGTTGTGGGGGCAAGTCTATTAAAGGATAGCTCTGCAGAGAGGGACCCAGGAGTCTTGATGGGTGACAAGTTGACCATGAGCCAGCAGTGTGCCCTTGTGGTCAAGGGGCCAATGGTATCCTGGGGTACATTGGGAAGAGTGGGGCAGCAGGTTGAGGGAGGTGATCCTCTCCCCTCTAGTCAGCCTTAGTGAGGACTCAGCTGGAGTGCTGTGTCCAGTTCTGTGCTTCTTAGTACAAGAAAGATAGGGAGGTACTGGAGAGGGTCCAGTGGAGGTCACAGAGGTGATGAGGGATCTGGAGCACCTCTTTTATGAGGAGAGACTGCAAAAGCTGGACCTGTTTAGTCTAGAGAAGACTGAGAGGGGATCTCATTAATGCATATAATTATCTCAAGGGTGGGTGCCAAGAGGATGGCGCCAGACACTTTTCAGTGGTGTGCAGAAACAGGAGGAGGAGCAATGGACACAAATTAAAACACAAGAAATTTCATCTCAACATGAGGAAAAAATTATTTACATTGAAGGAAGCAGAGTGCTGGAACAGGCTTCCCAGGGAGGTTGTGGCATCTCCTTCTCTGGAGACATTCAAAACCCACCAGGATGAGTCCCTCTGTCACCTACTCTAGGTGGCCCTGCCTCGGCAGGCCAGCTGGACTGTATGATCTCCAGAGGTCCCTTCAACTCCTAACAATTCTATTATTCTGTGAGTTTCTTAGCCAGTGATAGCAATATTGACTGTAGCTCTTCCTTTGACACATTACTCATGATCTCCAAACATTTTAAAACAAATTATGCATGTTTCAGTGGGCTATTTTGTTTCATCCCACTCTATTGGGAAAACTGAGATATCAAGTCTGAGCCAGCTGGAATTTTGAATGTCAGTGAGAATGTTATACTTGCATTTCATTAGCCATATAAAGATTTTGTGTCTTATCATTTGCAGAGGGCAATGCATCTCTTCTCCATCGGCCTGCCTCTGCGAAGCACTGTCCTTCTAACTTTACTTAGGTGCAAAGGTATGAATGCTGGTTCCTTACAGGATCGTATCTGTTTGTGTCATAATGGCATAAATTAAGGCCTGTTGTCCACACATGAATCTTCTCTCTATGCTCACAGATACCTTTTATTAGCACAGGCTATGCAGCCCTGACTTCTATTGTGAAGAACTGCATCACTCAATTAAACTGACGACCTTCACATGACTGGTGAATGTTCATATATAACCACAAAAATAGCAAAAAATGAACCAGCACGCAGAACCAATAAACTAAGAGTCCCCTTGTCTCTTTCCAAGCAGAATCCAAGTAGTCCCGGTGATTTTAATGAGATTACATTCTGCAAACACAAATAGTGGCAGATTGTTTCATAATGGTAAAAGTCACAAACAGCAACAGAGGAGTATTTATTTCTGATAGATATAATTTAACTGAAACACTTGAAACTCACATTACAAGAAAAGAAAACCAAAAAATCAAACAACTTTTTTCAACAATATTTCAAATCAATTCCTGCCACACAAATTTATAGCTTGCTAACTTTAATTGCTTAAGCCACTTGCAGGCCAAAAGTGAAAACATTACTGGTTTATTTTTGCTGAGTTATAGGACAACTATTTAATCATTAGACATTGCCAGGGATATTGTACAAATCAGATCTTGAAGAAGTTCAACATGTTATTTTGTGTGCAGCTTCAAAAGTAAGGAAAAATTACGGGGATAAAAATGACAGAAAAAGGCTTGAGCACAGACAAAACAGTGAAAAAAAGAATATATACTTCAATTTCTAGAAATGCAAAGCAGGGGAAACTGAGCTTTTCAAGCCTATTGTCAGGCAGCAAGATTACTAATATTTATCAGCAGCTAAATGCTCTGTAGTGTCACTCCCCGATGCCTAACATTTTGTCGTGGGTGCTGAGCAGTCTAATCCAAAAGCCCATACAACATCCATTTGCATGTCAAGTGGAACATTTTGAGTCAAAATATGTCTTACCTAGATGGATAGTTAAAACAACTGATAAAATACATCGTGTAGTATGATAAGCTCACTGAAAGAAACCTGGTTTTCACATTGAAAAAGTGGGTCATGGATGCAAGTACAAATCAATAATGATTTGTGAATGGTGAATGGATGCATGAGAAGTATCAACTTTTTATAATTCTTTTTCAGGAACAGAAAAGGTATTAGAAAAAAAAATTATTTAATTTTGCACTTGACAGCACCTTGTCAGGTTAGCTTAATTATTTGTTATTTCCAATTAGGTGTTCTCTTTCCTGTCTTTATTCAGTGAGTCTCTGAACACAGAATCATACAGGGTGGAAGAAGCCTCCAGAGATCTCAAGTCAAACCTCCTTTGTGAAGCAGGCCCAGCTGCTCAGGGTCCTGCCCAGATACGTTCTTAATGTTCATTGTTTTGATTATCTATTTTGAATATTCATTTGATGCAGCAAAATGTGAAAGAAAACACTTTAAAATAGGTCCAGGTTATAAAACCAGAGAATTGGCAGCAAACCTGAGTGGCGCATCCAATACCTGTATCAGCTGGAACTTTATAAAATAAGTAAGCACATGTCTAGACTTCCATCTGTCCTTGGCCATTTTGCCTGAACAAACTGTAAAAAATTCTATTCTCAGGGAAGATTTCCTAGAACAAGAAGTTACTTTATTTTTTTTCAGCGTGGAGTAAAACACTCATTTCTCTTTTCCAGCCAAGTAAATTTTTTGCAAGAATATTGTTTTTTTCATGTTTTATAAGAGTACAGAAAACCAGATGTTATAGTTGAATGTAGTTGTGTTTCATCCTAGAACAATAGCTTGAAAAATGTAACTGCCATTCATAATAGTGACTGTGAGCCCAGCTTCTAGTAAGAGGTATAGCACAAATATTGTTAAAGTCTCAGCTAGGAATTCTCTAGTTTAAAATTCCTGTTGGAGTACAGCCAGGCTTGTCACTTTCCACACCCCCCCCGCCTCCGGAATTGCTTCTTTAGGCCGAGTGTACTTAAACAGGCATTATCTTTTCAGATGTCCTAGCTGAAATGCTGACGATATTGAAATTGACCCTAGTGACTAAATTCCCTTCAGTTCAACACAGGCAAGATTTCAGCATATATGTTTATAAAACATTTCTTCACAGTACCCTCAAAAAATTCCAACCTTTTCCACCTGCCTTTTGAGCCTACCATAATTTATTACCGTACAACTAACCCTTCATGACATACCTCACGGCCACATTCAAAAGCCTTTCAAGATTATTAAAACTTTTTGTTAGTTTCCCAGGAAAACAAGGTTTATACAGCCATGCTGCCTTTCCTCTGTGTGCTCATCCCATTGTCTTTGAACACATTTTTCAATTTCAGCCAAATCTGATGGAAACTACAGGTCTCACAGCCATTGCATCCACTCCAGGTAATATCCTTGAAGTACAAACACACAGTTCAGTGCTGCTTCCCCCTGGGGCTTTAAACTTAATGGTTCTCTTCATGTGGTTTGACAACCTTGTACTTGGCCTGAAAAAAGGCACGATGTGCTCTGTGCCTAACAAGGGTAGTTAAATGGCATGTGACAGGGTGGTACTCTGGGTGTCGTACCTGGGCACAGGTGATTTGGGGGAGACAGCTGCTATAGGTTCCACGGACTCTGGAACAATTTGCTGTTACTGACAGGGTGGCAGCTTGTTATGACAAGAAAAGAATCGTGATGACAGGTGTTTTTGGGCTGTCTGTGTGCTCCCACACGGGAATAAGACGTCCCCGTGGAGCCTGAGGGGCTGAGGACTTCCACATAGCATGGACCTCGAGGATGTGACTCAAGGATGAGCACTGGCTACATTTGTCGGGCGGGGAAACACCACGGCTCTAAAACTTTCCAGTGCGGTATTCCAGCCTACCGGACCCCTGGTGGCCTAGTGGTTAGCATGCAGGACTCTCACTGCTGCGACCCTGGTTCGATTCCTCGGTCCCCCGGGCAGATGGAGCCCGTTAGGCCTGTGAGGCCATCCATCTATGAGAAGGTCACTCTAAACAAACCTACATCCTGAGGACCTCACATCCTGAGGACCTCACTGCCATTGTCCAAGCTTGCTTGGCCCCGGCAGATGAACCTTAGGATTAAAGGGTGGGCTCAGTTCAGCGCAGGCTAAAAAATCCATTGCGCAGGCTGGAAAGGTAAAAGACCTTTCCCAAAATCTTCGTTCGCGAAGACTGGCCATTATTATTCCAGCCACAGCCTTTCCAGTGTTGAGCTCCTGCAGAGCTGTGCGAGAAGTGCAGCCAGGAGCTGGCCACGGGCAACCAGGGACAAGACGAGAGGACAGAGCCTCAGGGAGGCGCCAGGGGAGGTTTCAGTCGGACATCAGGAGGAATTTCTCCACAGAAAGGGTGATTAGACTTTGGAATGGGTTGCCCAGGTAGGTGGTGGAGTCACGGCTCCCAGAGGTGTTTAAGGAGCTGGACGTAGCACTTAGTGCCATGTTCTAGTTGACAAAGTGGTGCTCGGCCACAAGTTGGACTCGGTGGCCAACTTGATCCCAGAGGTCTTTTCCAACCTAACTGATTCTGTGATTCTGTGGTTCACGCTGCCCTCTCTGCAAGCGGAGCGGAGGCGCTTGGCCCCGCCGGGCCGCCGTCGGGGGCGGGCCCGCGCCGCAGCCATGGCGGCGCCCGTGGTGCCGGAGAGCGACAGGTACCGGTGCTGCGGCTCCCCCGGGCCGCGCTGTCCGGGGCAGGGCGGGATAGGGCAGCGCGGGGCAGGTCCCGCCGCGGCAGGTCCCGCCGCGGTGCCGGGGCGCGGCGGGCACAGGGCCCCTTTGACCGCCCCCTGTCCTTCCTTGCAGCATCCGCAGGGCCGTGTCGCTGCTCAACGCCGTGGACTCCGGCCGATTCCCGCGGCTGCTCTCCCGCCTTCTCCAGAAGCTGCACCTGAAGGTTGGCGGGGCGCGGGGGGCCTGCGGGGCCGTGTCCCGCCGGGCGGGGCGGGAGCGGGGCCGGGCCCGGCGGCGCTGGGGCCACGCGGCTGCGGGCGGAGCCTGATATTTCCTCGATTAGAGGATTTTAGGTCTTGATTTCATTCATCACTAATTTTTCAGAACTATTTCAGGTGGATTAAGTAAGAGGCGGTAACTAGTGGCAGAAGGTGAATGGCGTGAGGGCGAGTGGTGCTCGTTAATAACCTGAGGCCTCCTGGCGCCGGTGTGTCAGGGCGCTGTCAGGACACGCGAATTCCTTGGCCTTTGGCACAAACCACGCTCCTGCCCTCGCGAGTGTTGTTCACAAAAATCCGATTCGTTACCCGGTATGCAGTAAGCCAACAATTGCACACTCGAGAGAGACATTGATTGTTTATTTCAGAGTTGTGCAAGGCTGGGTGGCTGGTGGAATTCCACAAATCAAGCACACGAACTACCAAAACTTTTTTAGTATTTATACATTTTAGCAAACAAAGGAATTAGTGTTCCTTTGCTGCAAGTTACATAGGAATCTTATTAATTCGTATCCTGTCTTCTAATGATTCCATCGCTTCTCATGCTAATTAGTCCACATGCTCAGTCTCTCGCTTTTGGGTCGGTGAGTTGCTTGGGTCTGTGGCTGTGAGTCGGTGGTCGCGCTCTCCCGTTGCCAGAATTACCTTTTACCCAGTCGAGTGGATTCAGCACAGTTGCTGAGTTGGCTTTGTTAGTTTCTTCCTTATCTTTGGAGTTCTGCGAGATGTCCTTGTGGTCCCTAAATTCTACATTCTTTGTATCCACTATCAGTGATACATCCTTCCCCCAGCTTTGTTAACCTCCCCCTAGGTCTGAGATCATTGAAGCACCTGAACCCTAAACCTTAAAAACGCAATTCTTCCACAAGTAATTTGTTTTTCTAACACCTGGACATCACTTAGAGCTTGTTAGCTGCTCTCTGTTTTGTGGATTAAATCTCCTTTCTTGATGTTTAGGCTTGAAAGTATACAAAGATCAATCATCAAAGAACATCCTTTCTAAGGAAAATTTTACATATACCACATTGTACATCATGAGGGAAACACTAACTGCATATTTTTGTTTATTTTTCTGCATTTCTCTATATCCATCAACCAAAGCCACCTGTGAAACTGAGGTTAAAAATAAAGCCCAGAGCTTTTAGTGAATATTTTTGTCACCTTTACAGAAGATATTTGTAATTGCAGAATAAATAAAAAAATAATAAATCAGTAGTAAGTTTCATTGTACAGTGCCAAAATGTCAAATGGAGACTAGGTCTAAACTTTGCACTAAATATTGCAGGGGAAACTGTAAGTTAAAACTTACACCAGAAATAGATTTTGTCAGTTTTGTTGTCTTTCAGTGTTAGATTTTGTTTATTCCCTTGTTTTGTGTCCAGAAAAAGTAGAAAAAGAAATACAGATTTTGTTTTCTGTACACATGCTACAAACTAAATGTTAAAATATTGCAGGTTAGGAGCAACATGGAAAAAAATGTGAATGTATTAAAGGTTATAATTCTGAGGCTATAAGGATTCATTTGGTTCAATTGCTGATTTTTTTTCCTATCAAAATTACTAGCTTGGATGTTGGTGTTATTGCAGAGTTTTATCGGTTGTTTTGCATGGATACTAACTCAACGGTAACTGCAAACTGTCACTAACTTCCTTTTTTTGTTTGGTTTGTTTGTTCTTTTTTACTACTCCATAGCATTTTAGTAGCTCTTCACAGTTTTAATCAACATTTACATGAGGGACATGGTCTTTGTAATTTAACCAACTCAATCTCCTGAGTAGTTCAGCTGACCTTTTTTAAGTATTGAAGTATTTAGAGCCGGTTAAATTGCTGGAAACTTTAAATGAACTCACTTTCCTTAACAAAGCAGACACTCTGTGTTTCCTTCCAACAGCTAATGATTCAAATAATGTTTCCATTTTGATACTCTTGTTATGTTTGCACGTTTTGCAATCATTGAAATTTTTGTGTAATTGCCTCAGTTTTTTATTCTGACAGCTGAATTGTTTTTCTTGTTTTCTTTGCAGTTTTGCATTACTAAGCGATCTAAATATGGTGTTTTGTTGTCTGTATTATAGATTTGTTAGTAATTACATTTTAAAAGAAGGCAATATCTACATTTAAATTACTGTTTAATTTTCTCCAGTATAATAAGTACAACTTCTGTATTTTAAAAGTACAGTACATTCTCAATAGTCTCCAGTAATAGAGTAGTTTATAGACTCAAATCTGACTTTAAAAATAAATATGCATTAGGCCTTTATTTCCTTTATAACAGCATGGATGGTTTGTAGAAAGATATCTGGAGTGGAAGAAACATACACAACTAACTTCACTACAGTTTTGCCTTCTGTTTTCTCTGGGGTCTGACTTAGGTAATGGACTTAGTACTTGTCTTATTTTTATTTATAAAAGGTGGTTAGATCTGATAATTGAAAGAAAAATATTTCTTTAGTGTCTGTCAGGTGCAAAGAGAAAGCATTTTCTTCTGCTGCATTTCAAGTAATCCTGTGGTACTGTTGGGTTTTAATTTTGATTTTCAGTGAGAGGAATCGCTTGTATATTTCTGTTGGAAAAGAACTTTGCTTTGCTGTTTCCATTTAGAAACAACTGGACAGCTACTATGTTTTTATTTTAACAAGTAAGTTCTTGGTCCTTAAATGAAATATTGTGACTAAACATTTTTGTGCTTCAGGCTGAAAGTACCTTCAGTGAAGAGGAGGAAGAAAAACTTAAAATAGCTTTTTCATTGGAAAAGCAGGATCTTCATCTGGTTCTTGAAACTATATCCTTCATTTTAGAACAGGTATTTTGTTTTCATCCTTATGCATTGATAAATAAATTTTTCTATCCCACATTAGATTTCAAAAATATAAAAGTCAAGTTAAAAATTAATTAGTGGAAACATAAATCTGTAGTGTATTATATATGTGTTGGGTTCATGATTTTACTGCTTTTGTTTTCATGCCTTCTTGATTTGGATGGGACTAATTGCCTTTGTGGAGTGATTTTCCACCTAATGTAGATGTTATTGGTAGAAGGGGGGTCTGCATGACTCCAAGAGAAGTGATGGTAATTATGAGATGTAGTCTTCCCTCTTATTCATTGTAAATAAGTCAGCCATTTTCTTGTAAGGAAAATACTACGTAACATTATGGATCACTGTTTAAGTTGCCTTAACATTCAGTTATGGAAAACTTTGATGCCTAGAAGCAACCTGTACTGAGGTGAACAGGCACACCTCATGCAGCTCTAGCATTTGGAGGAGTGGATGACTGCATGATGTAGAGCTAAATACCTTGTAAACAGAGAAGGTTTTCTAATTCTGCAGTCTGCCTCTACTAAGGTTGGGAAGCCATTGTATTACGTGGTAAATATGTTAACTGTCTTAAAAATTGTCACACCCATGATGTTTTCCATCCATTTCCTGTAATTATAGAAACTATAGTCTGTGCCGAGGAACACATAGTGATGGTCTGTTGTGGGATTTGAATCTGGTCCTTTCTTACACATCAGTTTATGATCAGTACACTTAGTTGACACATTCCACTGCTTTAGAAGGAAAGCAGACAGTCCTCCCCATGGCTCCTACCAACCAAAAAAGTGAAAATGAAACCTGAGATCACCTCCAGACTAAAATTTTGAATTTTCATCTCAGCCAAACATCATACTTGCCTGTTTATTGCCTGGTCATTATTTCATCAGACCGCTTAATTTACATTATAATCATGGAAGATGAACAGAAAAAGCAGTTATTCTCCTCTAGACTTGCTTCTTTTGCATTTAAAAAAAAAAGGAATCCCAGATTGACTACATGTATGCAAACACGTGTGTGTTCTTGCTGATGCTGTGCTTCTTAGAGCTGCTTGTTCTGTCAGGGCATAACTTTTTTAGCAGCCCTTTGGTCTATGGACACATTAGAGATAAAAGGACTTCTGTATGGTCTTTGCCACATGTGTTGTTTCTCTGCTTTCCCTGACTTGGTGGTGAGAGAGTCCTGTTTTGAAAGGGGAGACCAGCATAATACGCACTGTGCGAAACACAAAAAAATGATGCTAATAGGGAGGTGTAATGGGTTAAGATTGGCCCCCCTGAGAGTTGGAGGCTTGGAGGTGGTTGAGTGCCAGAGCAGTGCTCCCTGGAAGGCCTTTCATCTTGTTTGCTTCTGCTGAAAAATCATATATACACAGCACCAGAAGCTGTTGGCAAATTCTGTTGGTGTCTGCTGCGGCGTGTAGGTGTAGAAGGCTGAAGGGGTGGCAGGGCCTCCTCCTTCTTTCCCCTCCGAGGGGGGAGGAGAGGCCCTGCGGCCCACAGCAGGGTTAGAGGCAGCATTTGGAGTGAGTGTTTGTGAGGGACGTGACTCACAACACCTGAGGTAAGAGGGAGGAGGCCAGGCCCTCTTCTCCCCCCGCCGTAGCTGCGGGGTGCTTGGGACAGTGTGTAACTGGACTGAGCTGCCTGTGGCCAAGGCTAGGGGGCTTTTTCTCACTGTTAAGTGGGAGTGGATGCAAGGCTCAGCATTGAAGCACAGCGAAGTGGATGGGCTGATAACGAAGCAGCTCGGTGCCAGGGAGAAGAATCCCAGGCAAAATTGGAGACGGGCCAGAGAGAGAGAGGCTCCGGAGTTGCCGTGCCTAGGTTTGACCGGGGGCAGCTGAAAACTGACTTGGAGGACACTTGATAAACTGACTACACTACAGCAGCAGTGAACCGAGGTATGAAAGCAAAAGAGAGAACCATGCAACAGAGATGGTACAGAACCAAAGAGAAAGGACTCTGAGCTATCTTGGACTTCATGAAGAAGAAAGGACTGCAGCAAACAACTGGAGGTCGGTGGGGGAGTGTTTCAGGTTCCCTGAACACTCCCACCAGAGAGACTGTGTTACCTATCAGCCTGAAAAGGCTTTTCCCGGTCTAATTGAGGGAGGAGCTTCAAAGGGACCGATAGAAGTGTAATATATATATATATAGTTGCTTTTAGCTTGTATAGTATTTATTTGTGTAAATAAATGTATATATGCTTCCCCCTTCCCCTATAGAAGCCTCTGACCTGAAAGTTTTCTCTTCCGTGTTGGGATAAATTGTGGGAAGGGGTGGGGGGAAGCCTGGAAATTGAATTTTGGATTTCTAGTGTGGCTCTCAAACTGCCACAGGAGTTAATATCTAACTCCTTCAATTTTGGTGAACTCTCCTTGTCTTTTCGGAATACTACTTAGTAGTTCAGGATTACTTGAATTTGGAAAAGTTATCCTTTTTTCATGGTCACAATTGGCTTCAAAGCCCAGTGTTTTTTCAGTGATCACTGCTTTGGCATTACGTACAGTGGAAATCTGTACAATTACTCAGATTTCACTTGTATGTGTGTTTTTTCATAGTTTGTCTATCTTGGGAAGAGTTATTTGTAATGTTGCATTTTGAGATAGTTATGCTTTTCTGTCTTCCCAGTTAGAGGGTTAAGAAGAACAACAGGATGCTTGTAGTCCCCCAACAGAGTTACTGGTAAAAATCTTGTGTGAACATAGTGGCCATCCATGGTAGAACATATCTGGAGTGACTTATAGACCAGCGCTCAACAGTTATTTTTCCTCTTAACAGGCAGTCTATCATAATTTGAAGCCTGCGTCATTGCAACAGCAGCTACAGAGCATTCACCTGGATCAAGACAAAGCTGAAGCATTTGCTACTACATGGGCGGCAGCAGGTCAAGATACGATTGAAAAGTTCAGGCAGAGGGTTTTGACCCCTCAGAAGGTAATGTTTCTGTTGTTTGTTTGTTTTGGTGGGGTTTTTTTGTTTTGTTTTGTTTTTTTTTTGCTGAGAGACAATAAAATTGTATTGGTTTGGTTTTAAGCAAGGAGTTTAAACTAAGATGCGAAGTTTGTGAGAAGCCAGCATACTTATTAACAAGGCAAAGTAGTGCAACCAACTCACCCTTTGGAGGTGTTTGTGAACAGGCCTTCAATAGGGGAAGGGTAAAATGCAGTCATGAACACTTGTGGTGGTTTAGCTCATCAGCCTGTTGGTTCTCATTACTTGCATCTGAGCACCAGCCATCTTTAATTTTGTGAGCTTGTTGGATGGTGAATTTTGTGAGATACTTCTTACAATTTTGAGATACTTTTCTATGGTTGCATGATAATCTTACTTCCTGTATGCCTATTACCAGTTAAAACTTGCTACATGCTATGAAGTCTCATTGTATCTTTAGCATAGATGTCTACATCTATGAGAAGGTATAATAACATCCTTTTGTTGATTCATAATAAGCCTTCAAATGCATAAGGAATTGTGTGTAGAACACGTAAGTGGCAGCCAAGATCAAATATTTGGAAAGAATTGTGGAACATTGACTCGCTTTTTCTTTCTTTATTTTTATCATTGCTATATATCTTGTTGGGATAAGATTAATTTTGTTACTTTATGATTTTGTTAGTAACATAGAAAAGGAATAGTTGTTCAATCATCTTGCCAGAGACTGAGGTGAGACTGACTGACCTTTAGTTCCTGGGGTCCTACTTCTTACCCTTGAAGGTAGGAATGACATTTGCTTTCCTTAGGAATCTCAAAGATTGATGCGTGGTAGGGATGTTTGAATTTCTTTTGCTTGTTTGCATGGGTTTTTTAAGACTAATTTATTCATACTCTGTGTATGGTTGATATTGGATTCATAATGAGGCTTTTTTTGGTCAAATGTACCTTGTAGTTTGGTATGTAATTCGGATTCCAGGAATACGGGAGTTATGGAACTGGATCAGAAAATCTGTTTGTTGGATGCCCTGTCTTCAGCACCTTGGATGAAAGCATAGGGGTAGAATCCTCCAGTTAACCTCTTTGATGGAAACTTATGCCTCACATTATGACTTAGAAGCTGTCTTGCACCCTCAAAGATGATTGTTTCTCACTTTTGAAATACCCTACTTACTGAACCTGGAGGTTTCAGTCTGTATACTTGCCTGATTTCTGATTTTCTACCAGTTGAGGCAAAACTGATATGTGTTGATGTTTTTTAAAACCAGTATATCCATTATCTTTTGATTTTAATGTATATCTCTTTTGTCATTGTGAGAAATACTAAACAAGAGTGTGTTTTTTATTTCAAACAACATAGTGTGAGATTTCTCACTCTCATTCCATGGAAGTTCCCTCCTTCTAATCCTTCACGTTATCTGTCTCTGACATACTTCTGCTATATTTTGGAAGAAAATAATGTGAATAGGTTACGAAATAGAGTTACTGGAATATTAATACTTTTTGTGGTGACTTTATAATAAAGGTCTCCCTCAGAGAGAGGGACCAACATGACTTAAGGTCATGACATGATGAGACTGTGTCACTGTCCACAGTATTGTGGATCACATCAAGTTAAGTGGTGCAGTTGGTAAGGTAGAGGGAAGGGGTGTCATCCAAAGGAACCTTGAGAGGCTTGAGGGGAGGGCCCATGTGAACTTCATGAGGTTCTTAATGCAAAGTGCAAGGTCCTGCTCCCAGGTCAGAGCATCCCGTGGTATCAACACAGACTGGGGAAGTGAATGTATTGAGAGCAGCCCTGCAGAAAAACAGCTTGGAGGTGCTGGTGGATGAAAATTCTGATGCGTGCCAACTATGTGGACTTGCAGCCCAGAAATTCAACTGTGTCCTGGGCTGTATAAAAAGAAACATGGCCAGCAGGTTGAGGGAGGTGATTCTGCCTCTCTGCTTCTCTCACCTGGAGTGTTAAATCCAGCTGTGGGGCCCCCAGCAGAAGACAGAGATGGACCTCTTGGAGCAGGTCCACAGGAGGGCCATTAAAGTCATACAAGGGCAGGAACACCTCTACTGTGAAGACAGACTGAGGGAGTTGGGATTGTTCAGCCTGGAGATGACAAGGCTCCAGCGAGATATTATTGTAGCCATTCAGTACTCTAAAGGGGCTACAAGAATCAAAAGGGGGCTTACAGGAGAGATGGAGAGAGACTTTTTACTGGGGCATGTAGTGACAGGACAAGGGGCAGCACTTTTAAACTGAAGGAGGATGGATTTAGACTGGATATAAGGAAGGGGGTGATGGGGGTGAGACAATGGAGCAGGCTGCTCAGAGAGGTTGTGGATGCCCCATCATTGGAAGTGTTCAAAGTCAGGTTGGATGGGGCATTGATCAATGTGATCTACTAAAAGATGTTCCAGCCCATGACAGGGAAGTTGGACTAGATGCATTTCAAAGGTCCCTTCTAATTCAAACCATTCTACGAGTCTATGAATACTGGTTGTTGGGGTTTTTTTCACTTTCATATTCTTTTAAAAGTACATACAGGCTTTCTGGTTATCACTGGCGTATTTGGTAGGGACTTTTACTGCCCTGTTCAGGTGGTGTGAAGAACTACATATGAATTTAGAACTCAGTTTATGTGATTCTTTGGTACTTTCTCTTACCGTGTGCTTCTCTGTACACTTAGCAACTATGAATTTTCTTTTAAGCAGCTTTAATGGATGTGTCCATGGGATTGCTCATGTGGGTCCAAGTGTAGAATAAAGGTCATGATTAGTGTTACTGAGATCTTCATAGTTCTGTTCCAACATGTGAGGGTATGCAGGGAAACTGTGTACAAGACAGAGTTTATGAAGTACCTAAGAAAGATCTTGCAATTTTATCATGTGTTTTACTAAAATCCATGTGGCAAAATAATCCTGAGTCTCTTCTGACACCTCTTACTTACAAGTTGTCCATTTTGAAAGTATTGAAAAGCCTATTTTCTGTAGTGTAGACAAGAAGGACCAGGCAGTAATCTTTCATTTCTGTTTTAAGATAATAAAAAATGGCAGACAGTTTTATTTTTTTTTTTATCAGGGGTATGGTTTACACACTGAGCAAACATTGGAACCTGTGCTCAGGTTTGGACTCAAGACCACTAGTTATTATGAGAAGTAATTTCTTACAGATAATTTGCCTATATGGATATGTTATTTCTCTTAAACCGGATTCTTTTCTTGCCTATAAAGTAAAGGTTGTTAAAAAACAGTATTCTGAGTTCCAGGTATGTCAGTTCTGTGTAAGAGGTGTAGGTGGTAATGTGCTGGTTGATCCCTTCATTAGGCTGGCAAGTCAAATTCAGTTTGTTGGAGCAACAGAACAAGTATTTCCTAGAGTACTGATTAGGTGAAATTTTCTGTGGCATACTGGACACTAATTGTTTGAGAAAAACTGTTCTTTTTTGAATGTAGGTCTTTTTTGTGCACACTGCTTAATAGATAGGGATGTTACTTACTCGAGGAATGAATAAAAACCGTAGAGTTAACCAAAAATTCAACAGTTTAATACTATTAGTTTTCTCACTTCATCTTTTCATTTTTCTTCACTGAGCAGTCTTCAGCTGCACGAGGTTATTAATTATGTATATTCTGCTATTGTGTTAATTGGTTCATTGAATCCTTATTCATATGGCAGTCCCTTTATGATATTATTTCTCCTGTATAATGCAGTCCTAGTCAATCAGAATGATGGTATTTGTATTATTTTTTTCCTCTGAACACATTCTTAATTTGGCCTCTATAATGACAGGCGAGTGATAATAGTCCAATATCAATCTGATTGACTTTTTAAATCTTTGATTGGTAATATATCAGTTTAGAAATGAGGACACATTTATCAGATTACAATGTATTTTCTCCTCTCTGCATAGAAGAGATAGACTTTTAGTAGGGTTCACTCTGAATTCTTACGGCAATTTTTCATCAATTCTATTGTTTTTCTCCACTTCCCCCTCCCCTATATTATATTCTCTGTATGTTTTTTTGGTATTCTGTGCAAATCTCTGTTTTAAAGGCAGATCGAACTAAATGCCTCATACCTTTCTTGCTTTGGGAAACTATTCAGGGTATCCTTAAAATATGTGTCATGAAAAAGATAAGAGTCTTATGTTGCCAAGCAGGAGAAGTTTTTTATAGCTTTCAGACAGTATTTCTTAATATAATGATGCGTGGGAATGCAACTAGTGAAATTATGTACCTAAAATTCTTGACAGAGCTGTCAATTCTGTATCTTGAGTGCCTGTTTGAAGCCATATGGGAAAACTCTGAAAGTGGTTTTCTCAGAAACTGGCCTTCTTGCTAATGGGTGTATATGTAATGTTAATATGCTAAATTCCCTTTGCTAAAGGCTGGCAAATCTACAGAAATAGTCTGAAACACTTGCATAGTGTGGTGGTTATGACAAAGAGAACTGATGTACTCTGTGTGCGTGCATGTTGTGGCAGAAAATGCTTTCAGATATCAGAAGAATGCGAAATAGGGGGAATACAGCTCAAACAGAAAGAATCTTAGTTTCCTTGTAGTATCTGATCAACTAGTCATTCTTACAGTGACAAGCAGAGGTCGTAAATAGTGTTGTACCTATGGGCATTGTCACAATGAATTGTGAACCCACTTACATTATATGATGCCATCACAGACAGAGGCAAAGACAATGCAAATGATGAAATATGTACTGAAGAGACAGCTTTGTACCCACTGAGATTTATTTTAGTAGCCTGCTACAGCACAGTTGAGTCTTGTTCTTTCACTCAGCTTTGTTAGTAGGAATTTTAATTGTTTACAGTTTTTAGGTACTACTTCTTGAGGATTTTTTAATGAGTTTCTTCCTCTCCTTACCCTTTTCGGTCTTCTGAAAAAGGCTGAATTAAGTTTTTGAGAATGTTTCAAAATGTCTGAAACTTTTGTTCTGTTCCTACATGCAAAATAGCGTCTTTTAAAGTTGCAGAAGAGTACCATGCTTATCT